TCATTGCACACAAAGCATATCATACAAAAAAATCAATCTAAACTCTGATATTCTGCCTTTTCAATATTCCAATCATGGACCATGGGAACAGGAACAAATTTCACCTATATTCTTTAAGTATCATAAATTATACAGACCTATGAAGATACCCGTATCTTTCCTCACCTGTATATAGAACGTTGCAACTGCGTGATAGTTTGAGGTCTGTCACCTAGGAGCTTATCTTGGAACCCCCAAAAAATTGCCTTCTAAAATTATCCTACCCACGGTCTCCTTTGACCTCTCTTTTGATGAAATCAACCACTAATGTTTCCTCATTCCTCTAACAATACGTTAAAGTCGGGGATGTTAGATATTACCTTAACACTTTAGCGTAGATTATCTGCACTGAAGTGGAAAATGTAGCTGCAGTACTGTAGCTCTCTGGTTGAGAAAATTCGGACAGAAAACCCAGAGAGCTACAGATCCAAACATAGTAAAACCCTTCGATTTAAGGCGCCACTTTTTTTCGGGTATTTTTTGCTTTATATGCATTCCTCCGCCAAAAGCATGGTATTCTTTGAGCAACCATTTTGCATTTTGCTCCTTATCTATGTTGCTTTATGTACCTTTTAATGTTTCCAAATAGCCCTATATGGCCTTTGAATGGTAGTTTTAAAAATTTGCATTTCGACGACCATGTTTGAGTCATGCTAAAATAACACGATTTTAATGTCTATTTTTTTTTAAACATAAATATTGTCTTCTTTTAAAGACGATGGATATATATTTAGTAGATGCTATTTGACCCTATCCCCTCCTCCCCATCCCCCACCCGGCAAAAAGTGTATGTTCTTTAACAGACGTAATTTAGCACGACCTCAACATGGACGTTGAAATGCGTGTTTTCAAAACTGACATTCCCAAGTCACATAGGACTGTTTGAACCCGTTGGAAGGTAAATAAAGCATTATGAATAAGAGTAAAATATATGGTTAAAGCTGAACACAACTCGTAAATAAGCATAAGCATATCAGATTTCCTATATCCGATATCAGTACTGGGGTATATCCTTCGCATTCGTTACACCTGAATGCTTTCTTATCACGCGTACCTGCGTGAAATGGACGACATGTGTTCGTGTTTGTTATTTTACATTACCTTTGCTTACATTTTATTGCAGTTCTTCTTTAAATCCATTCATTACTTTCAAATAAAAGCAGAATAAACAACAACATTCTATTCAGACATTGTAACGACATGCACCAGCTTTATTATTTTGTACAACGTACATATAACATGTCAAATATGAAAATCCATAATCATATAAATATATATTATACAGTTATTTTGAATATATAATATAAATAAAATTTACACATTTTTGTGCTCTACGTGTCGTCCTAAACTGTTAAACACTTCAGGAAATTCTTAAAAACCATACGTCAGTTTTAAATATTTTTAATATTCCCAACAATCAAAATGAATTTGAATTACCATAACTATACTTGATTCCAAAACTCCATAAAAATCCTTACAAACAAATATACATAGCGGGTTCCTGTAAATGTTATACCAAGTTTCTTTCTTTACTCCTCACTAAAATATTTACAGAAATAAAGAAGAAACTCTAGAAAACTGAACAACAGTATATTCGAGAAGTGGTGTAAATCAGATGTGGGTACTTAAAAACTCCAAGGAACTTTTAGAGCATAAATATACATACCTTGTCAGTGGTCATTTGCAAAAGTACTCTGAAGTTGATATTAAAAAGATGCTTGAGTTTCTGATTGACAATATCTATGTAGTTTTTGGATATCAGGTCTTCCAACAACCTGTTGGAATTTCCATGGATACCAATTGCGCCCCCTTATTAGCAGACCTATTTTTGTATTCATATGAAGCAGAACTTATTCAAAAAATTCTACATGAGAAGAAAAAAAAAACACTTGCTGTGGCTTTATATATCGACGACGTATTATCAATAAATAATACTTACTTCCATTCATATGTCGACTCGATATATCTCGGTGAGCTTAAAATAAAAGATACCTCAGAGTCTGATACATCTGTTTCATATTTGGATATTATAAGAGAAAAAGACTTTAATGGTAATCTAACAACAAAGCTTTATGATAAACGTGATGACTTCAATTTTTCAATGTCAACTTCCCTTACTTATGTAGCAGCAATATACCCTTATCACCTGCATATGAGGTTGATTCAATAAGCCAGAGCATGCTCTACGTATGAACAATTTCTAAAAAGAGGCAAGATACTGACAAACAAGTTGATGACACAAGATATCAACAGTCCCGTTAAGTCATCATTTTGCAAGTTTTATGGTCGATACAATGACCTTGTCAGCAAATACACCTATCATTTAGTCAAATGCTGACTGACGTTTTTCATAGTAATTGTTAGGCCATAATTTACACACTGAATTGTCTGCGGATTTTTCTTTCCTCCGGATCATGACCAGGAGCACACGGCAGCTGTGCCAGATCGAAAGGGGGATGCTCACTCCTCTATGGCACCTGATCCCACCTCTGATTTTTTTTTTGGAGGTCCGTGTTTGCTCTGCTCCCGAATTGTATTGTTTAAATTGACTTTTAGCTTGATTGCTGTTTGTTTTCTCCATATTTCTTTCACCTCTTATACGAGGGTTGTTTGATATGTAATGTGTATTGTACGATACAACAAAAGCATTCAACTCAAATAGGGTAATGCGGTACGCTGAACTAGTTAGACTTCTGAGGCACTGACTGATGGCTGAGCCAAGGTTTTGTCGATACTTGTAACGACGACCAGATAAGAACTTTTTAAGTTTTGGAAAAAAGTAAAAGTGGCATGGGGCTAGATCTGGAGAATATGGTGGGGGTAGCAAGACGGTAACCTTCTCCGACTTCAAAAATTGCTTAACAAGCTCAGATGTATGCGATTGGGCATTATCTTGGAGTAGACGAACATGCCTAAATTCTGACACAGGGCGTCGGTTATGATAATAATAATGAGCTTTTTTAGTGTAGTGTGTTTTTAGTGTAGTGTACCGACCTGTAACACTTTTGCTCTTCAGCACCTGAGTTTGTACGGCTATACCATCATATGAGAAGAATATCAATAAATGATCTTCTTTGTGCTTATGGTACTTTTGACAACTACATACATGTACCTTCTACCGTGTTAAGTTAGTCGTATTTTGTTTCCAATTTTTCTTACTGGTTCTAAATAGTGAATCCATGTTTCGTCAAGAGTAATGATGTTTGCAATTTTTTTTTGATTACATTTGGGATACACTTCGAGCAATTGCTTAGCGGTTTGTACTCGCACCCGCTTTTGGTGATCTGTCAATATATGCGGTATCCATCTGGCAGAAATCTTTCGTACTTTCAAAATACACTTCAAAAAGAAATACACATGCGATAGTGATATGCCAACAGCTTTGGCAATAATACGAATCGTGAATCCGCCATCACTTTCATTATTTTCCTGATTTTTGAGACATTTGCCTTGCCTGTTACAGTCACAGGTCGGCCTGTATTTGCTGCATCTTTGACGGACTCTGTGACAGTCAGAAATTTCTTTCTCCACCTACAAACTGTCTCATAAGAAACATTATCAGACTTATAAACGTCCCCCAATACAGTTAAAATCTGTAATACTAAGAGTGCCTGAGCGGCTTATAAGTATAGGGCCTCAGCTATAATGCCAGGATGAGAAATATGGCAAACAAATTCCTTTGACGAATCGTGTTCAGTCTTCATTAACGTACACCATGCTTTAAGTGGGGGAACGTAGATAATACAGGAAATAATCGAAGCGATTCATAAAACAGAGAAGCCGTAAATCGAAGGATTTTACAATGTTTGGATCAGTAGCTCTTTGGATTGTCTGCCCGAATTTTCTCAACTAAGAGAGCTACAGTTCTACAACTAGGGTCACAATAGAGTTTAGAGTTTTGTTGTACAAGTTTATTTCAAGTCAAAATGTTATAAAATTGATGGTGAATAGGAAGACATATAGTTTAAAGATTTTAATTTTTAATGCTAGACAGGCATTCAATACAGCAAAAATTTTTATGCGATATGCTCATTTCTACAAAAGCATAGCATTTTAATTATGTTATCTAGAGGCATGTGATAGTAAATCTTAACACTATAGTTGACCATTAAGTGATCCAGGATATGACTCAACTTACATGAACAAACGATAAGGGGACTTTGAGACCTCAATGTAAGAGGGTCGTTCAAAAATATAAATGGTCATATAATTATCCCCCTTCCCCCCAATAATACATTTGCTATTAGTTGAATAACTGACACAAAGTTGGTAAACAAATACAGCAAAGTACATTAATGTATGGAACAGATTTCTTTAATGGGCACAAGTCCTCGATATCCGCATCTTTTGTATCTCTTGTCCTCTTTGCTTTTCGGATGATCCACTGAGTCCATCATCCTAGGAGATAAATGCAAAAATTTTCAGGACTACAAAGATAAATTATCAACAAAACATTACATAGACACACAGAAGGATTTTTGCATTTTTCTGCACTCACTCCTCCCTCCATCACTCCATCTCTTGTAGCGGTTGGAAACTCATCTTTTGCGTTTAAGTAACGCTCAGATTAAAATTTGAACTTAAATTCATTTTTGAGCCGAATAGTTCTAGTTAAAGTGATATAAAAGTAAAGAAATATATCAATGTTTCAATAAATGCATAATTGTAAATAAATATACCTCTTTGTTGTGATGCATACATTTACATCTATTTTAAAATTAACAAAAACAGCTGAGAGCTACAAAATTTTGTTGAATCTTCTATTATAGCTATAAATAGTATGAACAAAACAATGCCTGATTATCTACCAGTACTGAAACAGATGCTATGACAAAATGTAACGATTTATCTAATTAAATTATCAGAATTAAGGGTAAGATATATTTAAGAATATTTTCCATAAATATATCATATAATTAAATTCACCTTCTAGTTACTCCTGTTTATCTATATATTTATAGACACACAGTGTGTTGCTGCAGTATGATCCGATCCAGAGAAGGTTATTTTTCTCGTCATAACTCAGGCTGTGCGGTTCGATCATGTTCTTTTCATTCCTCAGTAGATATGACAGAAAGTGGCCATCCTTGTCGATTATGTGTACTGATTTGGTCTTCATATCACAGACAAGGATATTTGACAGAGTGTCTGTACAGTTTCCACGTGGAGAAATCCGTGGCCCTGAATGTCCTGTGTAGGTAAAGCGAAGTGTACCATCACGGTCTGTTACCACCACACGGCGCCAATCGGACACGATGATATCCCCATTACGGTTTTCGGAAAGATATCCAGGAAACCTGTACAACATCTCGCCATTGTTGTCGTACTGGATGGTCTGGGGTGGTTGTCCATCGCTGTTGTATCGAGTTATCTTTCCTTTGGATTTACTTTTATCCCTATCATGAGATATATGTGTCCCGACTAGTATATCTCCACTTGATGGGGAACAGAAGACAGAAAGAGGTTCCCATGATTCTTCTAGTGATATCAATGTATTTCCTTGCTGGTCGTTACTCAATTTATTGATGTGAAAGTCTTCAGCTATATAAAAGAGTGTCCCATCATTCGCCATCGTGTGTACTTGATAGCTTTGTTGTGATATATCTTTCAGGTGAAAAGAAATAGCACCTTTTGTGTCTGCTAAGACGAGGTTAGAGCCATCGCTGATCCAGAGTTGGTCTGCCACAAAGGAAAGGTAATAACAGCATGTAACATCTCCTACTTTCAAAGATGTGTTCAATATAGGATGAGGCATTAGTTTCAGGTGTTGCTCACTTTTTGCACCGCCTCTTCCGGTCCTTGTGTGAAGCAGTACAGCCTTGTTATCAGTTTCTTTGTCTTCATCCATTATCTTGTATTGATACCTTATCCTAATTTTTCCAAGAAACTGAAAAAAAAATTCCAGTTTCATTGTTTAGAGTTTGTTAGCAAATTTGTTATTTAAAATAATGACGATCTATGTACATATATATTTTTCACATCAACTTTAGACTGATTAGGACCAGAATAAAGACACGAAGTATTTGTTTGTCGGGTACAATTCATAGCTAGAATTTTCGGTCAGATTGCATGTTGTTTTACGTCCCATTCGAGAATTTTTCACTCACATAGAAACGTCACCATATACCGGTGAAGGGCTTCAAATTTTGACCTTTACTCGGCACTCAGGGCCATTGAGCAGTGAGGGATCTTATCATGACAACGCCTGCCGTGACATGGGGCCTCGGTTTTCAAGGTCTCATGCAAGGACCCGCAACTTTCACTTCAAAATGCTGAGCGCATGGTGAAGGAACAGTTGCTACCCATTTTTTATCGACTTAGGTCAGTCGCGGTCGAAATTCGAACTCACGACCTCCCGATCACGGAGCGAGCGCTCTACCGACTGAGCTACCGTGATCGGTAATTTTCGGTCAGTAAGACTCTATAGAATGAAGTTATTTTTCAAAAATCTCCAATAAACTTAGTTTGCCAGTTAAATATTTTTTATGTACAATTGACAATTCCAACTTATTATTATCCAATTATGGAATTTCTATTTCTATTTTCTGCAATTATAGTAATATTATGAAACTACAAGACATCACCTTAACCCTCAATCTTTTCTGTACTAAATTAAACCATACAAACACTTGCACTTTGCCAAGTACTACTATGAGTTTAATTATTGATGGAGATAATTGTTTTTAAGTAGGCAGTAATTAGTCTTCAAAATAATAAAATTTTGAATTTGGTACAATTATATGCCTAATAGAAATAGAACCAAATGAAGCCAAATTATGAATATAACTTATAATGAATATAACTTAAATATCTTATTTGAAGTGCAGATTCAAATCGGATTACTAATATTAAGACTTTCTATTGCTTGAATAATGAGTACTTTTAAATGCAGAATAGTTGTATTATACTATACAGTTGTAATATGTAGGCCATATGCAAAATCGGAAACAAGATTGTTTGTTTGTATCCATCAACTTGACTTGTAATCACTTCTGAATAGGCTTTTCTGAAAAATAAATCGCAAAACTCGTGTCAAAAATCTAGGTCATATACAGCGTCCGAATTGTCATTACTAGTACGAATCCTCACATGCAATGACTATGCAAGCTTGATCAACATCGAATTTTTTTACTGATTTTTAAATATATCGGTTAATGCAACATCCGAAGGAAAGAAGTTTACTATATAGTATCAAAGTTTTTACTAAAGTAAATCAAAGTTATTACTATAATAAGTCAATGTATTTTTACTCTGGATTTCAGATTTTTATATATTTTTTGTTCTCCCCTTTATATATGCACATTTTTGATACTGAATGGAAATATTACTTGCATATTCACATATTATTTCCAAATTGAACATCATGGTTATCAAATTTAAGAGATTATAAGCTTCTAATTCCCTAAAAAGTTCTAATGTAAAATATCATAGTAAATCAAAGTATTTGTTTTATTTAATATAGTAAACTATATAGTTAACTATGATAATATTTTTAGGATTGCAGAGTCAGAAATCTAATGAACATTTGTAACTTATTCGATGATAGATAAAATTCTTAAAAACTCAAAATCTAATAACAGCTTTTATGTCAAACCTTAATTAAAAAAAAAAAACACTGTTAGACTCTTGGAAGTATAATTCCTTTTAAAGGAATGATCGGCATGGGATCATAAAGTCAGCATTATGAAATGTCTTGAATTAAGGTTGTAGACTTTTCCTTTTATTTTAATTAACTTAAATTAATATTTTTTTTTATGAGTATGTATATACATATATTTAATTTCACATTTCTCAACTGGGTATGACGTGTAAAGGATAGCCATATTAACATGCTTTTCATAACATACCAAATTTAAATTGAAGAACAAAATTTAAAAGAGCATTGTTGTTATATAAAACTAGTATGACCAATATGTTTCCTTTAAAAATATTTGTATTTGGCAAAACATTAAAAATGTAATGTGGACATTTTCTTAAAGGGATGAGAGACATGAAATCAAATAGGCTAAATCTTTGAAAAGAAAAATAACTTTGCAGATAAATTAACTATCAATTTTTTAAAGAGTCTTTAATGAAAGTTGCAAGGAAATATAACCTAAGTATTCATGCATGTACGTAGTCAATCTTGTAAACGATTTTTTTTTTCTTTTTTAACGGGATTAGTAATTATCCCTAGTAAAGAAATAGTTTGAACGACCTTGTACGTAATGTTTCCCACTAAACTCCAAACGAATTATGAGACGTGTGCAAAATCAATCAATAATTCTATAATTAGACATAGTGTCATCGTAGGTACATGTAGATGGTGGCAACGTGATTTCATGTAATGCTATGGCTCAGTGATGTGTCAAGCACTTTCTTAAAATCATCATAACGGTAATATTCAAAATACATCTAAACTGAAATCGGTGAAATTTGAAATTTCTTTATAAACAATAATATGTTGAAAGTCCACAAGGCTACAAATAGAATAGGACACATGTGCGCCGAGCTTTCTTAATTCGATTTGACTTGAATATTTTTGTTGCCTTCCGAAACACCAATGAACGAATAAACTTTGGCCTTAAGGGAAGTGTACTTCCGAATGAAATTCTTACGCATGTGAAGTAAAATGTGTTTATGTACATGTAACTGAATAAACGTCTGCATCTCAAGGAAAATTAATGTATGAAAGTAATGCTCGTTTGTACTTAAAGAAGAATGTCCTGAAAGATTTAAATGAAGCTGTGAGTGCAAAGTAAACAAAGTAGTGCAGAGCGTAATGTGTGCGCAGATAGTTATATCTGCCGGATGCCTCATATGGAATCAACTGTGATCGGCCGAAGCCGATCACAATAAAAAAAACCTACATCTACTTGTCATGATCGACCCTATGCAAAAGATTTGCTTTTACTACCATTTAATTTCCAGAATTTTACCTAGAAATTCATCAATGACATGAATGGATCTTGATTATATTACACGTACATTGATTGAAAAATAAATCCTTCCTCAATCTTACGGCAAATGTAACATTGAAAATTGATTTAATGATAAGGATTTACATCGAGTTGGTATTAGTTAAAGCATTTGAAATGCCAGATATACATGTAAGGGCCATATGTTTTAAAGAAAAATATTTCTGTTGCTACAAGCTTTCAAAACGGACGATTTCATAAGACTGTCCTTGAACATTTTTATTCGGTGGCTGCTATCGGACATATGCTTGAGATTTTTTTTTTTTAAATCGTTCCCATGAAATAAAATTCGTTCCCACGAAATAAAATTCGTTCCCACGAAATAAAAAAAATCTTTCCCACGAAATGAAAATTCGTTCCCAAGAAATTAAATTCGTTCCCATGAAATAAAATTCGTTCCCATGAAAATTTAACGATTTAAAAAAAAATCTCAAGCATATGTCCTATAGCAGCCATCGTATTTTTTCTTATTAAATTGTGTTGATCTCCAATTCCACATCAGCGAAAAAACAAAATTGAAATTATACTAAAAGAGTTACTTACGAAAGCCCTGAAGGCTCAAATCTCGAATGAGCCCTCTGGGCTTTCGTAGTTACTTCCCAAACTGATTGTTTAAAATCTGTTATGTACCGGTCAGGGATCTTACAATTTAAGGATACACAAACAAAATTTTGATGACTGGATTGATACAAATTTTTTGACTGATTTTGATGAGAAATGACATAAATAATAAATCCCTAAAATATAAAGAAATCGTAAGTTTTCTTTGGTGCTTAAATATGCGACTTTGTTTTGTTTTTTTTTTTTTTTTGTAATTCTATACAAAATTTTGCTTAAACTTTTAACATTGTGACAAAATCTTACAGAGTTCTCCGACTTTTACTGGTAAACATTATTCAGGTTACTTATCTGAATATAAATCTTTGAGAAATATTGCTGATTTCTAAAAAAAAAAAAAAAAAAAAAAAAAAAAAAAAAAAAAAAAAAAAAAAAAAAGTTTGGATTATTTATCCTTAAGAATACAATTTAGATGATATACGGATAAGTTAAATAGACAAAAATACAGCAAATCAGCATTGTTTTTTTTTTTACTTAACTTAAGGGACAAAAGTTTTTTTTAAAAATCTTTATTTTGCTTTTTAACAAATTTGATGCAAAGCACATCACAGATGTGTTTTTGTTTTTTGAAAAGAGTTCCCAGAAAAAAAAACAACACATACATCGCCTGTAGGTGATTTTTTTCGTGAAAGATCTCGCACGCAGTCTATGAGGGACCTCTATTTGTCTTTCTTGTTACACAGAGATTACAAAAAGGGATTTTATAATTATGGAAAAAATTATGTGATTTTCATTATAATACTCACCCAGCCAGATTTCCTGAACACTGTAATTTGCAAATTTGAGAAAATTATACACTTCTTATCTACGACCTCTAGCAAGATTTTTAAAATTACGAGACTTAAACAAGGTCGGCTTTAGAAAAACACCTTGTATATTGATTTTATTGTGCACTATCGATTTAATAATGGTTTTTGTTACGTAATCTCAGCATGTGCCTTTTGAAAAGATATCTCCCTTAAACTTAGGACAATCTCCAGTCATCTTCGCAAAGATATCTCCCTTAAACTTAGGACAATCTCTAATCATCTTCGCAAGCCAAGGGATTTCGGTCCGCTTCCCACAAACCGTTTCCACATTACGCCACTAAAACTGAGGCTGATACGTTGAATCTTCGAAGCTAGACCCCTGGAACCAATGAGAAAACTTATTTTATGTCGCATTATAAAAATGTCATGTCATTTATAAAAACAACAGAAGAACTATCATCTATATAAATGTTTTGCTACTTCGTGTTCTTTTAAACACGTATAGATTATGTTCTCACGTCATGTCTGTCTTCGTACGTTGATAAATCTTTAATTACCTCCTGTAGTTCTTTAATCTCTGCTTTCGTGTAAATCTTTCATTTATTGTTTGCAATGGATACCGAACTACAATTTATAAACTGTTACCTGATTGGCTGGAATCTAGAGTTAAAATTCATTGCGTCTAGATGTCCGTTATTTCGGCCACAGTTTTAGTGGTGAAATCTGCCAAGGGTTTGTGGGAAGCAAAGAATGTTGAATCGGGACGAATTTATTAAACTCTACTCTCCTTAATCATTTTTACATATTATATTATGTTATCTCCATTTCTACGTACACGTCTGAAAAAAAATCAATGGTGAACATATAATATAGAACTAAAATAATATTTAAAAGAGATTTTACAGACTGATTATTCAGAGTTTTAATGTATTTTGTCAAGCTTAAGGTTGCCACAATTAAGGCATACAATAGCTGACATATAGACAAACAGCAGATCAGAAGACGAGGGATTCATTTACTATTCTACAAAATTAAGCCTTCAGAAGACTTAAGTTTAAATGTTATTTTTGTTCAATTTGATGTCTAGTATATCACAAGCACTGTTATGAATAAAATACCAATAGTGAGGGAACAAATGCATTGCCTTTATTTTTTTATGAAGACTGTCCATAAAGACTAATAAATGGCCGGAACGACGGGCAAAGCGACCTCTATTTGTTTGTCATATTACCCATTTGATGCAAAAAAGCATTGTATAGCTTTGAATAATTCATTTCTTACATAATGTACTCACCTGTCCAGATTCTTGAATGCTGTAATTTGCAAAATGAAAATATGCTTCTTATAACAACAAATTTCAGAGGCTTTAGAAACGCACCTTGATTGGAGGTATTGATTGCATAGTACAATATCGGATTTTGTCTGGTAACTTAAAATGTTTTTGGCGATCTCCCTTACACTCCAGACACTCTTTAACAAATTGATTCCTCTTGTTGAAGAAGAAAACTTTCAACTTATGAAAAACTACCTATTGGAAATTAATTTTAATAGGTTTTACAAGAAGTATTATTGTTCACTTCATACATCATTTTTCAGGCTACGAGCCACTTAGCCCTGTATAGAACTAACACTATGGACCCATGTGGCACTGTTTTTACAATTTGGTGGAAGGTTTATTCTTTTTTATCACACTTCTTTGAGCCTGCCTCATTGAAGCATAGCAAAATATTACTTTTTTTTTTACATGACCAAATAAGATCCACCGTCGGGACATAAATTTCACATTCTGAAAAAATGTTTATGGCATATTTTCATTATGCATACTATTTGCCTTTTAAATGTTAGGTAAAAAAGAAAAAGTCGAAGATAATGAACAGTGATTGACCTAAAAAGACTAAAAACAATACCCTGGAGATTTCAGAGGTGCGATCAGGTGCCTAGGAGGAGTAAACCTTGACGACCTCTCACACCCGCCATGAGCCCTTTTTATTGATCAGGTAAACAGAATAACCCTTAGTTAAATTTAGTAACGGATATGGTCTAAAAAAAGGTATGAAAAATATCAGTCTAAATACGACCTAATGATAGGTTGTATTTGCTAACAAGGTCATTATATCGACCATAGGATTTATGAAATGCTGACTTTAAACGAGATTGTTGAATTTCCTAACACCAACATATTTGTCAGTACCTGTCCTTGGTGTAAAATTTGATCGTACTCATAGCATGCTCTTGAGAATCGAGTAAGTTGGAAGACATAAACAATATATGCAGGTGATTATATTACCACATAAATCAGAAAAGTTGACGATAGCAGAGCTGAAGTCATCTAGTTTGTCATACAGATTAGTTATAAGATGGCTCTTACCGTCTATAGTCAATAAAGTATCCAAATATGAAACAAATGGCAGATATGGCAGACTCTGTGGTGTCTTTTATTTCGAGTTCACTTGGATAAAAAGAGTCGACATATGAACTGAAGTAACTATTGTTAATTAATAAATCTGAATGTCATGTAAGAACTGATGATATTTAAAGATTAGAGATCTATAGCCCTTTTGGCAAAATATATCACAATTAATTTTCATCGTGAGTAAAAACTTAGATATTGTTCCCTTTCGAAAGAATTCTTACGAGATTCTTACATGTAAAAATGTTCGTAACGTTGACATAGTTCTGCCCCTTTTAAGTATTTTTAAGCTGTGTATTGTGTAAATTATATCAGAATATTTACATTTCCAATGTCTTTCTCTGAGAAAAATCTACAAATAAGGTAATGGCTTTATAATCCCATAAATCGATTTGCTCAGCACGTGACAGAACTGCATGCTTTTTTGCTGCGTGTTGCATAGTAATACACCTGGTGGGGATGCTGAGATTTCTTATTGTTGATTTTTTTAATTGAATCAAGGATCAGGTAAAAATGTTAATATAAGGAATAATTGTCTGGTTTTTTGTTTTTATGATGATAATCAATCAATTTGCTCGCGTGATAATTTTACGCATAAACGCCTTCGGCGTTTATGCAAATTATCACGCGAGCAAATTGATTGATCACATCATAAAACCGAAAAACTAGACAGTTATTCCTTAAATAAAAAAAAAATACATGTACATATTTAATTGAACTTTTAAACCCTTTAATTCAACAAAACCGAAACGAAGAGGCAAACACGCATTCTCAGAAAAAGTAATTGCTCTCGAAAAGTCTATCAAAGTTATCGTTCTTCACCCGACACGAAATCATATATATATATATATATATATATATATATATATATATATATATATATATATATATATATAAACTATTGATTTTCAAATGTATAGACTTCATACAAAAGCATACACATACATGTACTTTATTGTTTACTGTTCTCTCGTTCTAAAGATGACTTTTAAGTGCTTTTATGATTTTTTATATGATGAAGGAAGTTCTTTTCTGGAACAAATTATTCCTTTTTACCGAGAAATACACTATAGCATACAGTATACTCTATTTTTGAAATACAGAGTTGATAGAAAAAATACAATAGATGATGGACAATTTATGATCAGAAACATATAATTAAAGTGTGCTTAAGGTTTTGAGTCCGTTCTAAGGAAAAACATGAGCCTTGTGAACATTTAAAATGAAAACATGATATTTACATGATAGCAATTATAACAGCCAAAGTACATAGCTATTTTCAGAGCTTTTGAGTTTGCATTTTAAGTCGTCATATTTATAACAATCATGAACAAAAGTTGTTTTTGGTAAAGACATATGCTTTTTGTAAGTAATTCAAATTTATTCGTGTACTTGAAAGATATATTAAAATCTTTTTAATGTACTGAAAAGAAAAAAAAATTTCATATAAAAAAAATAAAGTGTTCCTGATCGATATAATTAGTCTCCCTTCAGAAAAGATAAATTACATGATTAATAAAAGGAAAAAAGACAAATAAGCTTCAGACATATACTCAGATTAGAAGTTCTAAATACGTTGATTTTAAATTTTTTCTTGATTAGTAAATTTACATTTTTCAGGAATAACAAATAATTTGCTCATGAATATTGAATTCTGTACAGTATATCTTGTATTCTGTAATAGGTTGCTTCCTGAATCTCATGAAAGGGAAACTGTACAAGAGAATTCTGATAAGATGAAAGGGCTCCATCGTGGTCTCCACAAATCTGTTGACAGATTCCAAGAATTCGCCAAGATATATCTCCTAATGGTTCAGCAAAATAATTTACCTGGTTATAATGCAGGAGGTTATACAGTTCATCAAGATATTTTTGCTGTTCATGGAGATTACCACGGTAACACAATACTAATAACATGAGTGTCATGACATACGGAGGTACATTGATGAAATTTCTTCTTGTCACTCTGTATTCTAATTCTAATTCTTCTTCTAACATAATCCGCTGTAATTTGATATGCATAGCGAAGGCTCTAGCCATTTTATCACTAAGTGTTTGTCCCCCTACTTCCTCGGTATATCTCTCTTCATTCACAAAGTCGGGAAACATGAGATAAGGTTGTGCAATAATTCCTCTTGTAATGTTAAGACATGATACTGCATCCATATACTTACCGATTGAATATAGGAATAATGGTAAATAAATTCTATCAGATGCAAACCCCATGTTTTGACTAACTTTCAACAAATTTAAACATGTGTACATAACTTTCAATCTTCTTTTGTTATAAATGTAGATAGAAGTATTGGATAAGTCATACACAATGTATCTGATAATTGATGATATAAATTTCCTGGAACCAGCACGTTCCCATTGACTGACGTGTGGTGAATTTAAGATCCTGACTGCAGAACACAAAGAAGTAAAAATATTTTGTGTATTAGAATATGTCCTATCAAACAAATCAAGCATATGGATTTCGTAGCAGAACCCTTGATCAATTTGAAATTCTGATATAATATCAGATTCATCTGTACTTAACACATACTGCCTGTTAAAAATAGCTTGAGTTAGGCAATCCCTGAGTGAATGGCAATGCAATAAGCATGCAGTTCCTAGCTTGTACATCTCAAACAGGCGATCATACACTTACTGTTGTGAATATCCATATATTTTTGAAATGAACATATTATTTTCTGCAATAAAAAAGTTTGGAAGATGACCACGATACACACTTGACAATAAAACCTTGAAGCACAACCAGAATCCTGACAATAGACTTGATGGATTCCAGTCAATGACGGTATTTCTCTGAATCACCCAGAATAAAACTGTTTTCATAAAATACGAACAAAGGAGAGGCTGTCCATTTGTATCCTCAATAGTCAAGACTTCTTTTAAAAATATTTTTAACAATCCATAGCACATGAACTGTGTGTGATTCATACAGTATACAAGTTTTTGTTCAGCTAAGGAAAATGAAATCCTCCATTCACAATCTTCCTGTGGTGATCCCTTGAATCCTATTGGTACAACATGACAACCTGAGTTGATAATCTCTCTTAAGACATGATCCGGTGGCCATGCTTGAGACTGGCATCTCAAAGTAAAAGAAGTGGCAACAGGTGGCCAGTGTTTACATGCAAAACAATGTGCATAATCGTATTCCAAATTAAGCATCTTTCCACTTGCACACGGTCCATGCTGAATAGAATCTTTTATTAAAACGGGTAGGGTTTCTTCTCTGTATCGTGAGCTTGATATATATAGTCCATTATTTATTCTAACACACGATTGTTGAGCATGAATATTGTTTGTAGGAGTCAGAAGCTGTAGCATGGTAAACCCAGGGTGGTCTTCAGAGTACTCCATAATAATCAGAGAAGAACGTTCTTTGTTGTATCTATTTGGATGATTTAAATCACATATAACGTGATGATCAGTCGGCCAGAACATAAAGTCCACGTCCGATACCCCCACACCAAACCCATCTCCAGTACTTCCACCCAACACAGATTTCATAAAACAACATATTATATTTGGTGCACGTAAAATTTCAGAAATATTCAACAACGCTCGTCGTATGTGTACTTGAGTAGGTGTGCCTAGTAATCTGCATATGTCCACGTAGACTTTCTTCGATATCTTGGGCATCTCGTCCATCCTAAGACGAACATAACTGCAAGTAACAAAAAGCAATCGTTTGACAAAAAATCCAAAGATATCGTCTTTTCTTACATATTTCATAATGTTAAAAAATCTGCTACATGAAAATAGTGATGTAGCAAATTTTTATTTGCCAAATGAACTAGGTCAGAATGGACAATATGCTACCATATAAAATTTTAAATTTGAAATGATTTCTTTCCTTTTTTTGATAATTTTTCAAATAAAACTTATTTTAAAATTTAATATTAGAGGTGAGAAGAACATAGTTTGTGCAACACTTACCTCCAAATCAGAGATGCATTAAGTGATCAAGACGTATCCACAATATCCCAGACGATAACTATATCAACAATACAATCGCCCTGTATAGGATTATCTCTCTTTTACATGAAATCAATCTAACATTTCCGTCATAAGGAAATAACTATAGTTGCGAAAATATCCGGTTCATATTTATAAAAGCCATAGAATCATTTTATTCAATGTAAACCAATAATATTTTAAACCTGGAAAATCCACTTTCGATTCAGAAGTAATACATTGATATGGAAACTTACTAGTGGCCGAATTTTGAACCGATGTCAAACTTAATTACTATTAATTGCTATTTCGATGTTATAAGCTGTTCTCCTTTAGATTTTATTTTTTATTAGAAAAAAAAAGACTGGCAGCATGGGGTATTTCTTGACACACACACGGGTAAATTCGGGCAGGTCAATCTTGCTATTTTGAATTAGTAGAAAAAGTTAAAATAAATAGTTTATACGATTTAGTGAGTTCACTAAGATTTCATTCATATTTGGTACATTAAGATGCTTTACCTAGTTTTTTTCCTCTGATATCTGAAGAAAAATAATTGCAGAATCTGTGTTCCCACAATACCTGAAACTAGAAGTCTCTGATGCGACTGTAGCTCTACAGGTTTATACGTTTAATAAAGAGAAAAGTAGTAAATGGAGTTGAATCTCTTCTTTTTAGTTTAACATTTACAGAATGATATATCCTGATGTTTTCTAATTTTTGCCAAGTGTTGCTAAAATCAAAACAAAGCTCAACTCGGGCGTCAAACCCTGACTACTGTTTAACATAATTCATGCAAAACACAACACATTAGAAATCTTTTAATACTGAATCATTTCGATATAATCAATTAACATTGCAACATTATCACCATGCCATGTTGGTAACCACACATTCTTTTTCTCCCAGAAATCTCTTTTCGGATGAGGAGAGTCATTGCGCCAGGGCTTAGGAGTGTCGTATTGATAGTGGTCAGAGAAAAAACCCAGACCACCGACCGCAACGTTCAACAAAACCTGAAACTAAATCCAAAAAGGCCGAAGAAAGTGCATCAAGCTTAACGATATAAAGTTATAAACAAAATTGTTTATAGACACTAGTATATTTTTCCATTTTTTACCACTTAATCCTGAAAACTTCCCAATAATATTTAAAATGTGAAATATAAATACTAACAGGTTGGTCAAATGGTGCATTTTTGTTGTTTCCCCATATATTTGTGCCAGAAAAATGTCCAGCGTTCCAGAAGCCATGAGAAGGCGTATTGACTCGTAATATTTCGTGATTATCCACCAAACACCTTGTTCACCATTTAAAAAAATAAAGAAAAATTAAAACATTACTCATTTAACCACATGATTTATTATGAACCAGGATAATTGGTTAAATTTCTTTTTTTAAGAAATGTATTAATCAAAATTCCACGTACACGATGTGCTGAGCTGTCCATTCTAAGGAATATGTGTGCCAACTATGCCAGTCACCCCCAGTAGAATGTCTGTTTCAGAACAAAGGTGGTTTAGAGTAGAACAGATTAAAGCATTAATCATTGAAATGTACAAAATATTTTCCACACAAAACTTCCCAAAACAAAAGATTTGTTCACCTGCATGTGAGCAAGACTTTTATAATCAGTTTTATTTAAACAATAAATTGCTTTCTTTGGTTGTTAGAATTGCGGGAATTACATACATGTATGTAATGTCGCAGCTGTTGCAGAAAAAAATACTTAACCCGCGTAAGCGGGTTATATAATTTTTTCTGCAATAGCTGCGACGTTAATTCCCGTACTAACAAAGAAAGTTATTTTATTGTATATATTTATTTTAACAATAAAATGCTTTCTTTGATTGTTAGTACGGGAATTAATGTCGCAGCTGTTGCAGAAAAAATACATAACCCGCTTTAGTGGGTTATGTGATTTTTTTTCTGCGACATTAATTCCCGTACTAACAGACAAAGAAAAACATTTTATTGTTTATATTTATATCTTTATAAAAAAAACATTCAAAGTAAATTAGATATGTTAAATATTGTATTATAGGTGTGTATGTCATTGTATGCATAATTGATGGAACAGCCTTTGCTTAAGAAATCTGTGCATGTGGCTTGCTTAAATGTTGTTTACTGACTGATTAACGGCAATTGTTTTCATAAGTAATAAAGGAAATAATATTCATGGATGTAAATATGTCTGAATAAAACATTTATAGTAAAATTAAATATGTTAAATATTGTATTATAGATGTGTATGTCATTGTATGCATACATGTAATTGGAAGAGCCGTTGCTCAAGAAATCTATGCAAGTGGCTTGCTTAGTGGCATTTACTGACTGATAAACGACAATGGTTTTCATAAGAAATAAAGGAAATAATATTCAGTGGATGTAAAATTGTAAATATTACAAATTTTATTGCTCTTTATATGTAGAAAAAATACGTTGTATAAAAACCTTGTGACGGTACATATTGTCGTTTTGTACATATTGTCGTCGGCGACAGTATGTACCTAGCCTCACTGCACATATTGTCGTTCATCGGTACATATTGTCGCGGGCGACAATATGTACCGAGACGAGCCTTATTTTCCTCCTGCATAATGGACGACAAAATGTACAGTCAAGCACCAGCACATACTGTCGTCGGCGACAATATGTACAGTCAAGGTCGGCATATATTGTCGTCAATATATTGTTTTGACGAATATTTACTTGAGAAAAGAAAGAGAGATTGACAAACACATACACGCACGGAGGGAGACAGACAGCATTACGCACAATACTGTAGGGAGAAGTCGCCCGCGTGGCGCAGTGGTTAGAGCGTTCGCTCTAGAGTCGCTGAGTTGATCCTTGCGTCGCGGGTTCGAATCCCACTGTGGGACGTGGAGACCGGTCCTTCGGATGAGACCGTATAAACCGAGGTCCCGTGTCGCAGTAGGTGCTGGCACGAAAAAGATCCCTCACTGCTTAATGACCCTAAGTCGAGCATAGGTCAAAATTTGCAGCTCTTCACCCGCAAATGGTGGCGTCTCCATATGAGTGAAAAATTCTCGAGACGGACGTTAAACAACAAACAAACTGTAGGGAGAAAACTTTTTGGTCAGAAAATTGTGTCCAAGATTGATGTACACCTCACTGCTTAATGGCCCTAAGTCGAGCATAGGTCAAAATTTGCAGTTCTCCACCCGCAAATGGTGGCGTCTCCATATGAGTGAAAAATTCTCGAGACGGACGTTAAACAACAAACAAACTGTAGGGAGAAAACTTTTTGGTCAGAAAATTGTGTCCAAGATTGATGTACATCACTATGACATATCAAGATTACCGTAATTCTTGAGATATCTGATAAATCAGCTATGTACCATCACAATCACGCTGCATGAAATAGCATACAAGACAGGTCAGTGTGATTTTCACACCAATTACATTCACAAAATTACTAAAAAACAACAAAAGACATCTTTAAACAACAATTTCTGTGGGGCGACAATATGTACAGTGAGGGTGAGGCACATAATGTCGCCAGCGACAATATGTACATATGTAACTTTTCAGTCGGCGACAATATGTACCAATGGACGACAATATGTGCAGTGAGGGTAGGTACATATTGTCGCCGACGACAATATGTACAAAACGACAATATGTACAGACACGTGCAAAAAGTATTCGATCAAAATGGCGGCGTGTTTACAGTGACAATGGTAGTATGAAGAAATCTACGAGCTAAAATTTTAAATTAAAATACTTTGAAAATAAAAAAAATCAATTACTTACGATTTAATACTTCGTAAGGTGTCCTTTAAGTCTGATTACATGTAAAATGCGCTTAGGGATGGAGCCATACAAGCTTTTAATGTAAGCAGGCGTGATACTTGTCCATATACGCCGAATTTCCTCGATCAAATTGTCTTTAGATTTTATTGCTGCAGTGCGTGACTGAAGTTTTCTTTTGATGTGTAACCAAACATTTTCAATAATATTTAAGTCTGGTG